CTCTATTATGATAGTTACAATTAAGTTCTTTTTTAATTTTATTTAGATAATCAAAATAATCAAACGATATAACTATATAAAAATTATTACTATTATTTGAGGCACAAAACATAACTATACTAAAAATTATTACTATTATTTGAGGCACAAAAACATAACTATACTAAGTATTAAATAAAAATATTAAAATATTAATTATAGTTTGATTAATTACAAATTCACCATGACCTAAATTGAAATACATTAAAATTGCTGAAATTGCAAATATACCCCTATGAGTTATCTAATTTTCAATAACAAACCCCCCAAACACAATTACAATTCACGGCTTATATCCCCTCTGCAAACACCGGATTCACGGCGCAACCTCCTCGCCACTGCCGACGCCGCCACCCTGGTAGAAGATAACGTTGGTTCAGCCAGATGCGACGGCATACCTAGACACCTCCACACCCTCGATTTTACATCCGCCGCCGCCTATGAGCCGCTTTCGCCGGACAATCGACTTTCGAAACTTTGATTCCCACCGACGGTGACTCTAAAGGTCTCGATGACGACGAGGGAGTTGGGACAGGAAGTGTTGGAAGCGGCGGAGATGGACTTGGAATGTTGGCCGACAGTTGGCGTCATTTGTTATTCTCCGCCGGCTGCCGTTCGTTGGGAGAGGGGGCGTCGGGGTAGATGGAGCGTCGCCGGAAGATGACGGTGGCAGTGGGCGGAGGAGATGGTCATGTCGGCGGGGATGGTGGCGGTGGGCGGGGTGAACGGGCTGAAATTGTGATTTGTGTGTGGCCGGAGACACTAACCCATGACCAAGTGGGCTGCGGAAATTGGCGGTGGCCGGAGACACTAACCGGCGGAAGGCTGCGACTATGTGGGCTGCAGGAACTAGCGGTGGCCGGCGACTCCAGCTGTGCCGGTCTGATTTTGTGTGTGTGTGTGTTTTCGTATTCTGTGTGTGTGTGTGTGTGTTTTCGTATTCTGTGTGTGTGTGTTGAATTGAGATAGTGTGTGAGAGAGAGAGGGAAGTGGGGAAGGTTGGTGTGATTGGTGGGACCCGACACTATGGGTGGATGAATATGTAATGACCATATTATCCCTACTAAGTGGTTAAATATTTACATTTGACCCCAATATGTACATATATTTACAACATTGTCACTGCTATTTGACTATTATTTATTAAATTTTGACTTGATCATGACCATTAATGTGGTGGATCTAATGGTACAGATTTATTCTTATTTCTTTCACTATCTACCATTCTCATGTGATTCCATTTATATATATATATACATATATATATATATATATATATATAGGATGTGGTTCAAATGAGAACTCTTACCTAGTGTAAAAACAAGGAACCAATCATAACCATCCAATTAATAAATATTAATGGATTAGATTGAAAGCAATATAATATTGGAATTTGTTTGAAAAATCACATTTATGTAGAAGATGCTATATATGTCAAGTTAATTATTATCAGATATGGTAGTGCTCTAGCTTGAAGGTATATGAACTCTTTCACTACTATTACTTTTTTTAAATTCTTCATTATTTTATCAAGTTGTTTCGTTATCTATCCCTGTTATCCTTGTTTTTCTTTTGTTTTTTTCTGTTTCCTATTCAAATTTCTTTTATAATATTTTTGTTATTTATACAGAAAAATAATTAATAGGGCAATCATGCACATCATCCATAGAATGACCATTGACCAAGTTTTGATGGTCCTTAAGAATTTATTTGTCAAATATATTTGTATTTTTTATACATAAAATTTTTATACTAGTTTTTTTGTCCACCTGTGGTCATTATATTTAAACAGTACCCTATATGCAAATCCAAGGATTTCTTTAACTTCTATAAAATATTATTGTGAATTACATCAAAAAAATATTTAATGGTTTCTTTGTCAGCACCTTTTTTGGCTTTAAAATTTTATTATATGTTAATAAAAATAGAAGGGTAGATTAAATACATAATATTGTATCATATAATATTACCACTTAACAGTTATCGTAGTAGCAAGAATATAAACATTCGATAGCATTATTGTCTGATAGATTGTTAGTTACTCTGAAGATTTGATAGGTAGCACTAAAAGTTGCAAATAATAGCAACAAATTGAACAATTGACAACATCAAGTTCATATGAAGATTAATTAGTTGTTAGCTACATTACGAACCTTTGATGTAGCTAGCATTAATAATTGGAATAGTGGCATATACATGAATAATTGATAGCATTAAGTTCACTAATGTTAATTTGTTGAGTTGGACATATAATGGACACACATTTTCACTAACAATTGTCAATAGTAGAAACAGTATTGATAAAGTAATGTGAAGACAATGAATTCAGATAAAAACATTAAGCGACAAGAATCAATATACTTATATAATTTATTATGATGAATTAGATTATCAAATACATGTTACTGCTAGCAATTGCAACTCATAAAATTAGAAGTACCTTGCATATCAAGTTTTAAATTTATTTAATAGCATTATTAAAATAAATTAAAATTATATATTATAAAACAAATTGTATAGAAAAAATATTTTTGTTTGTTAATCTTATACAAAAGATAATAGCAACGTAATTTTTATTAAATATAGTACTCTTTTTTAATATAGCAATAATATCCATTAGTAATAGCACTAAAATATTAATATAATAGCACATAGTCTCCATTACTAATAGCACTAAAATATTAAAGAGTCCCTCACAATTTACCAGATAGACTATAATGATGTCGTTGTGACATTCATCAAATTACAAACTTGCTTAGATACAATCTCCATGCAATTGCAGTGATCTACTAAGATTAAATAGCATTGGGCAATTGATATGTTATATGGTTATCCTTCAACTAATAGCATAACTAATTTTCAAACTAATGTCACGTGTATTTGAGATTAGCATCATCATATAAGAAAATGTGCATAACAATTTCATTGTTCGATACAAAATTTTATTGGTTAAAGTTACCATTTTTTGGACAATTAAATTTCCATAAAATCTGGTTTGCAATAAAAGAGGAGATTCCCAACTAATAATAGTTTCCTAGTTTATCCTTACCTTTACTTATTAGTTAGCTTCAATTAAATTCCTAATATACTAAACACAATCTCAAACGTTAATAATTATGGATTTGAAGGCTAGGATTGGTTCCTAGTTCTTACACTAGACGTAGTTCTTATTAGAACCCTCCCCTATATATATATATATTTAAATGCAACTTGAATTACATTAACATTTATAATTTGCAATCTTTCTACATTTGGGTCATACAATCATTAGCAAAATGGACACATATATGGTCAAGATATATAAGTTAGGAATAATGTCCATGAAATTCAAGTTATGTTTTATCAAGAGAAATACTATAGGTTGTGAAGTCAAAAAATACACGCAGTACGTGTTGCAGCTAATGTTTTAACCATTGTGGAACTATATGAGCAACTCCAACCATAAAATTCATTATCATACTCAAACGTAACTGTAACATCAAACTGTAATTTATCTCCAGCCATTATACTCATTCTTAAACTCAAAAGTATATTCTTAAAACATTCATTTCCATATCAATCTTTATATATATGTTTTTTAGTAATCGTCTCCAATCATTATACTCATTCTCAAATTCAAAAATATATTCTTAATTAAGATATTCATTTTCATATCAACCTTTTCACTTTTTTTATTTATCTTTTTATATTAAATAAATTAATAAAAAATAAATATGTGACCACAATATTATCATTATCGCGGTTGTATCTGCGATAACTCAAAATGCCAAAGCTCTTTTCTTGCAAATGTGACAAATATAATTTGACTAAAATTGTAAAATATAGCCAATATCTTTTGCGCGGTGGCAATAATAGTCCCATCTTTACAAAAAATAATAGTAGCCAACAACTTTTACAATTTTAGGGTTATTACCCAAATTCGGCCAAACTCAACAGAACTTTGTCGGAACGCGCACACTCGGTTGATGTGGATTCCACGTGGAAGTAGGTATGTAGGCCACGTAGAGTCCACATCAGCCGAGTGTGCCAGTTCCGACACAATTCCCTCGAGTTTGGCCGGATTTGAGTAATAACCATGATGTTTTGAAAGTTGTTGGTTACTGTTGTCAGTTCATAAAGATGGTGGTTGGTATTGTCAAAGCTTAAAAGGTTGTATTTTGCAATTAAACCATATAAATTTGTCAAATAAAACAGATCAACTTGTGATTGAAAAAGAAAAATGCACAGATGATTATTTAAACACATTTTTTCGTTTGCATAAGGCATGTGGATTGAACTAAGTTGATTAATGGCGACATTTCAAACTTTATTTTACTTTTCATTCTATCAAAGAAACTCTAACAGTGACTAATAACCATTTTTTTTTTTTAATTGAAAAAAGTTGTGATTTCAAGCTTTATCGAACAACTCATTTTTAAGTCAAAACAACTATAATGAGCGATTAAGAAATTTTTGCAAAACATCATGAAATAGTAGTTTGAAGTCAAATTAATAAGGTATGAGCTCAAAAATTCGCTCAAGCAAGACATTATTGGTAATGGAATTATTGCGGAGGACATTTACGATTTGCTATCTTATTCACTGAAATGTGTCTTTGTGTTTAATGTTTCTATGTGTTCATCTTGTAAGACTTTAGCCAACGGGGCAGTTGAGGGGAGGTAACTGTATGCCTTCTCGTGTGTGTTTTTTCTCTAGTTTTCTAGATTGCNTTTGAAGTCAAATTAATAAGGTATGAGCTCAAAAATTCGCTCAAGCAAGACATTAGCCAAAACGCATTTATCGAATTAACTATAATGACATGGTCATAGATTAACAAAATAAATTATCATAATTTATAGTAAAATATAACATAAATATAGTCAATTGTATTTGTTGTTAAATTATTTGTTTGCGAGACATACATAAAACATGAGTATTTTTTTTAAACGTAAAATACTATTAAATTAAACTAAAAAGAGTACAACCAGTAACCAACTAGTTACTAGGATCATCCTAACCGTCAGGTGACACAAAAAAACGAATCACGGGGGAGTCACTTTAACAAAAGAGCGCTTCTCAACAAGTCCGTCCCAACAAAAAAAATCCTGCACCAAAGAGGCAAAATACTCTATAAAGAAGACTAAACTACTCTATAACGGAGACTAACGAACTCCATCAAGGGAGTTTAACAACAACCAAAAAATAACAGGAAAACAAAAACAGAAACATTAAACTAACAAAATAAACTTAATTAATTATAAACTATATCACTCTCCGACTACCAACAAGAACGACTTGGTACACCAAGAAGCACGACCTCCCAAGACGACCAACAAGAATGACTTGTCACAGAAAACCGTGATTGTAGTGGGAAAACTCGACACCACATCAAGATCTAAAAGGAAATTTCTATGCCACACCGCTTCTTTTGCTGCCCCTGAGGCTGCGACATATTCGGCTTCCATGGTGGAGTCTGCTACACATTTCTGCTTGACATTCATCCAAACTAGGCTCCTCCTCCTATAGTAAACACAAACCCAGAGGTGGATTTACTTTCATCCCGGTCTGACTGGAAATCAGAATGAGTGTAACCCAACAGGAGTAACTCATCTGCCTGGTAAACTAACATATATTCCTTAGTCCTTCTAAGGTACTTGAGTATATGCTTCACCGCAGATCAATGCTCCGGTTCTGGATTACTTTGATATCTGGCTACCATGGCCACGGCATAACAGATATCTAGCCGTGTACACAACATCGCATATATAAGGCTTTCTACTGCTGATGCATAAGGAACCGTCTTCATGTTCTCTATCTCTTGAGGTGTCTTGGGAGACATCTTCTTAGATAGAGGGATTCCATTTCGATAGGGCAGTTGCTCTTTCTTTAAATCCTGCATGTTGAAGCGCGCCAAGAAAATATCTGTGTATGTCGATTGAGATAAGCACAACATTCTCTTCTCTCGGTCTCGAATGACCTTGATCCCGATAACGTGTTTTGCTTCTCCCAAGTCCTCCATAGCACACACTACATGCATGTGTAGTGTGTGTGTGCGCGCTGGTGTAGCATGTGTATGTGTGTGTTTGTGTGTGCGCGCTGGTGTAGCATGTGTATGTGTGTGTGCATCGATGTAGTGTGTGTGTCTGTGAGAGAGAGAGAGAAAGAGAGAGAGATACAAAGAGAGAGAGGGACACGAGTGTGTGTGGATGTGTGTGTGTATGTGCATGTGTTGTGCATGTGTTCTGTGTGTGTATACATGTGTTGTGTGTGTAAGTGTGCGTCTGTTGTGCGGATGGTGATATGGCATGGGACCCACTAGGCAATATGTAAGTTAGATGCATAATGATAATGTCTAAATTGGGGGATTGTGGGGCCGTCAGTGTGTAGCCTTTTTCGAAGGGTTTGGGCTGGCAAGCCACTTCCTTCGGAGTTGAACATGACCATTCTTGTCCTAATCTCCAACGTGGAAACACTGTACACAATTAAACAGTTTAGGCCAATTAGTCTTTTAAAGGTGGCTTATAAGCTTTTTGCCAAAGTGTTGGTGAATAGAATGAAAGATGTCTTACCCAAAATTATTCCCCCAGCACAAGCATGGTTTGACCTTGGCCGACACATTATAGATAATATAATAGTGGCCCAGGAACTCATCCATTTGAAGACGACACGACGAGGAGGGACGGGCCATATGGTCGTCAAAGTGGACCTTGAGAAGTCGTACGACTTCTTGCGCCGGGACTTTATTCTCGAAACTCTTCTCTTGGTTGGTTTCCCGGCCTGACTGATACAGACTGTCATGTCTTGTGTGAGTTCCGGAACGATGAACTTGCTTTGGAATGGGGAGGTGTGTGAGGAATTTTCTCCGACCAGATGAGTTCGTCAAGGTAACCCGATGTCTCCGTATCTATTTGTTCTTTGTATAGAACGCCTAGCACAACAAATTGGCTTTTCGGTCACACGCGAGGAGTGGAAGCCGATATCCTAGGGTCGAGGGATGGTTAATGCCCCTTTCCTAATATTTGCTGATGATCTGTTGCTATTTTTGGAGGCAACCACGACCCAAGCCGATATCTTGACGAGGGTGTTGAATGATTTCTGCATGGCATCGGGTTTAAAGGTCAGCTCGACTAAAATTCAGATATTTTTCTCTAGATCAGTCAAAGATGCGCGTTGTCGGATCATTTCAGAAAGGTTGGGTTACTTGAGGGTAGAGGATCTAGGGAAATATTTGGGGATGCCGCTGATTCATAGCAGGATTACAACGGCTACGTATGCGGGGATTTTAGAGAAGGCAGAAAGTCGACTTGCGGGTTGGAAGGCAGGTTCTCTTTCAGCGGTGGGGAGATTGACTTTAGCCAAGTCGGTGCTTTGCTCGCTCCCTTCTTACGCCATGCAGACGGTTGTATTGCTTACTTCCGTTTATGACAAATTTGACCGGTGTTGTCGATCCTTTCTTCGGGGTGGGTCGTTAGAATAACGCAAGCTACATTTAGTCTCTTGGGTAGACATTTTCCAGCCGCGAGATTGTGGTGGTCTCGGATTCAAACAATCGAGAAAGATGAATGAGGCCCTTTTAATGAAATTAGGATGGACTTTTCTCACCAAGCCGGATACACTTTGGGTTCGAGTGATGTATGCGAAATATAATTGTACATGGGCCGAGATGACTAGTAATTTCACTTTCCCTATAGGGTCGATTTGTCTAAAAGCTTTAGCCAAAGTATGGCCACATGTCAGGAGGGGTGCTCGATGGGCCTTGGGGAATGGTCTTCAAGTGCGGTTCTGGTTTGATATGTGGCTCAAAGTTCCGGATCCCTTGATATCTGTGGCTACTAGGGCTGAGCATGGGACTCGAAGAATTCCAAACCGTTTCGAAAACCGAACCGAAATCACTCCGAACCGAAAAATAACCGTTGACTATTTGACTTTCTCCGAACCGAACCGAACCAAAAAAATAATTGGTACGGTTCTGGAGATTTCACAAATATCCGAACCAAGAACCGAACCGAACCGAACCGTCTCGTACTGTACCGAACCGGAGAACCGAAATTAAGAACCGAATTATTAAAATAGATGTGTGATATTAATATATTTTATGTCAACTTTGATCCTATATAATTTGAAAAATTTTAAAATGGAAATAAAATATAGTTATAACAATTAAGCTTTACTTAAATGTCATGCTTAGTAATACTTGAGATCTACAATTGAATTTTAAGAAAAATATATTTTTAATGGTATGAAAGGTTAAAGAAATATTTTTTTTAAAAAATATTTGAACATTACTTAAATTTGTCGATACTAGTCTTATTCAATCTTATATCTAACATGGTATGGAAGATTAAAGAAATATTACTTGAATAAAAAACTATACTATATTTTGTTTGAATTTTGAATTTGCAATGTAAGTTGTACAAATTTAGTTTTAACTAAAATTTAGAGTTATTTCTCCAGTTGGTTTAAAAACAAAATTTTTAGTATAATAAAGTATTGATGAATGTTGGATTTAAAAAAAACATAATATAAAAATTGAAATACAACTAGGTGGCCATTTAAAAAAAAATTAAAATAATTAGAAATCTCCAAATATCTGAACCGAACCGAACCGATACGAACCGTTCCAATAGTTCCAATACCTGAACTGAACCGAACCGAAAATGAAAATATCCGAACCGAACCGAACCGATTTTTTGATACTGTTCCGGAGATTGAATTTTAGTAATCTGCGAACTTCGGTACGGTTTTGGAGATTTGTCAATCTCCGAACCGTACCGACCCATGCTCACCCCTAGTGGCTACTGTGAGAGTTCCGACGGAGCAACTTCATGTCCCGGTGGCGGAGTATGTTACAGAGGCTGGTGAATGCTGGTGGACGAAATTCGAGGATCGTTTGCCTGCCACGAGCCTAATGCTAATCGCAGGTGCGCTGCCACCACGGCCCACCGCAAGGCCCGATCGTTTGGTCTAAGGGTATACGCCGAATGACATCTTTTCAAGGAAGTCAGCTTACGCAGCTTTGACGCGGATGGGCAAGGACCGAGATCGTACGTTGTGGCGAGCCATTTGGAGGGCGCCAATGGCCCAGCGCATGCGGCACTTCTTGTGGCTGGCGAGCCAGGAAATGCTATTTACCAACTTGGTGCGGGTTCAGTGACACATGGCTGGAGACGTGGCATGCTACCCATGTGGGCAGTCGGAGTCGATGTCATACGTGTTACGAGACTGCTCTAATGCGCGCCGTCTTTGGGATACCTTGCTCCCGAGCCCTGCCCGGAGGGAGTTTTTCTCTCATGACCTACGAGGGTGGATATGGTCTACTTTCATGGACCCTCGCATTGGGGGACGGAGTAATGGGCAATCATTTTTCCATTACATGTTGGCGACTTTGGTATTAGAGAAATATGTCATTTTTTTAATAAGGCTTTTCCACTTGAGGCAAAGATCCAGGATATTAGGCGACAAATGGAAATATTTTTGAAAATGACTATTGCGAGGCCTATTTAGGGGTTCTGGATCGTCATTACGAGTCGATCATGATCCG